TTAAAGTGGAGTTTGTAGCTCAGAGAAAATTGTTACACAAGAGTCAGAGAAGATCAAAGCCGCCTTCTTTGGAAATTAAGGTTCGCCAACAACCAACCACATAAGGTGATTTCTCTTTCATATTATTATAACTACTATTAGGTCCTAAGGATAGTATGACATGATATAATTTCATTATACAGCGCTTGTGTATTGTCTCGAAAAACCTTTTGTACAATCTCTTTGGATCTATGCATATTTAGCAACTAAAATTAAAAATAGGATACAATAAAAGCAATAGATCCTTATTGGTGATAGATATCAACTAGTTAAGATGAAGGCTTATTCATGATACTTTTTGGTTTCCCACCCGGTGTCCAGAGCCCACATTGGAGCTTCGACTAAATTCGGATCGCGCTTTGCAGGGCCTATTCGGAGGTGGAGCTCCCAACATGATTTTCTCCATACCCAGGGCTCGAACTCGAGACCTCTGATTAAGGGTGAAACACTCCCACTAATGCAGCACAACCCATGTTGATGCTTATTCATGATACTATGCATATAGTAGGGCCCAATGTTACCACTTACCAGGAGTAATTTAAGTTTACTTTAGAGATTTGTATCTCACTTGGAAATGTAGAGAACCTCTAATGTTAGGAAATCTAAAAGTAAAGAATATTTTATTCTAATTTTTTTTAAAGAATATTGGAATGAGACGATTCCAGATAGAGTGAAATAAATAGTCAGGATTCATATGCTAAACCACTTAGCTTGAGATTGAGAAAAAGATGGCTTTTCCCGGATGAAAAAAAATTGGATTTATGTAACAGGAGAAAGATTTCCCATTCCTTAGTCGGAAAGATATGTGGCCATGAAAGAGGGATTAAGTGGAACAAAATTGACTGGGTGGTAGAGTCGTGGGGAATAGCTGTTGTTGTATAGCGCTTGCATATGTGTACCTATGGAATATCTCATGCAACTGCTCAACATTCTTTTTGTTATATCATCCCTCTTTTGCCCCTATGCTATTTGCTAGCTCCTATCTTCTTGATCAAGGCCTCTTGTAAAGTATTTACTATTTACTATCAAACAATTGAGTGAAGAGGAGAAAGACCCAGCTAAGTGGAATGTGATGGCTGATCCATGTGTAACAAAATATGTTTTGTTTCAATAAACTTTGCGTACAAAGTGGTTATATTGGTTTGACCCGTTGAATGGCCACAGATATGAAAACTGTTGCAACCTTGTTGTTAATGTTTGTCCCTACGTTGTTGTCTTGGAAAAATAATTGGAACAACACTTGAGTTTGTTGTATGTCACTCAACAACAAATAATTTGTGAGTTCTCTCGAGGTGATTTTCCTTCGTACTGATATAGGCTTGGAGGACAACTATCTTTGAGGGTACTTTTGTCTATCATACTATATGTCTAGTTTGTGTAAGCTCATTGTGGTAAACTGAAAGCTTTCTCTTCTCTAGTATGTCTCTTGGTGTCTAGGGGTATCAGAATACCTTAGCTGAGACATATATTTTTTCAGTGACATGACTCTTCACGAGTTCATTGCATCTGAAATTTATTTTATCCCTACAATTTCTACTCCTTTTTATGTATATCCAATGGAACCCTATGACTGGACTCCTATTTGTCACATGTTTGTCATTATTAATCAGTTTTTCCCTTAAAAATAAAAGTTCCCTTTGAAAATCTGTACTCTTTCAAAAGTTTGGTGTGTTGTCGGTTCTGAATGTGGTAATCAGTTTGCCTCCCAAGTCCCAACTTATCCCACTTTGTGTCTCCAATAAAAGGTAAATAGTTTGTTCCTTGAACTTATATTAGACTATGTTGTCGCAGGATCTCGTCAAGTCATCTCTCGAGGACATAGTTTCTGATGAAATATAGAAATTGAAGCACTCATATCAGAGTGAGACTTTTGATAATTCTAAATTCTCCCTCGCACTGGATGATGCTATATGGCAATATGATGGCCTTCATGAAGCTTATCAAGGTGATTGTGAGGAAATGCTGCTCGAAATGCAGAGGATTTTCTATGAAGATCTCAGGATGGAAGAAACAAAAGGTGAACGTCTTTTCCATATCATCTGGAATTTGGTGCTCCACCTTGTTGATGGATTTTAGAGACCGTAGTTTTCTAAATAGACATAGCCTACTGTATATGAACTCAGGAAAAAAGAATTCTTTATTGAGGAGCTCAAAGACACTCATTTGTCCAAAGTTAGAAGGTGACAGAAAGTCTTGAATGATAATTTGCCAAATAGAACTAGTTATTCCTTTTTTGGTTTATCTTTTCTCGTGAAGGAGGAGGGGGGTTATTTTAGGAATTACATTTCAATTAACCTTCCTTCTGAGTTAAATTGTTATGGCTTCTCGCAGAGCAAGTTTCAAATGAAACTTGGGAGGATGAAGAAGATGAGTATTTGGCTCGTGCAGTATATAAGCACATGAACCTCAATGAGAAGGTATGTGGTCCACAATAAAAGCCAAAAGAAAAAAGCAACCTTTTAAATTATCAGTTCAGATTAGTCAAAAAGTTAACGATGTGCATCTTTGATGTTAATTTTTTTGTTAGAAAACCCTTTTAAGTCCCTATTTCACTAAGCAAGGAGTTGAAATTCTTTTCTTGTTTGTTTCATGAGAATGCGAGTCATAACATGGCATTGGTAGTCTAAATTTTCTATCAAATTCTAATTTGACTCTTTTTATACCACTGTATACTTCCCAAAAAAAATAAAAATTCAATGACATTATATCTAATGTGATCCTACCTCGATAACAGAATGTTTGGTCGTATAATGACACTAGAGTAAATGAGATGGCTAATTGATTATGTTGTAGTGAATATATTAGGCAGGATTAGTTGGAAGATGGCTAATGGAAGGAAAGTTGGTACTGTTTCATGTGTTTACATTTGTACGTGAATCCTTTGTTGATGATACATATTCACTGATTCATTCAAGTTTTGTCTTTTGGCGTTGTTATATGTTTCAGTTGCACATTCATACATTCAATACAAATTCACACGGTCTGTCAGTTGATAATAGGTGATTTTTTTTGAATATCTTGATGTTTTCAATAGGCTGGCAAGGAGGTTTGGTGTCCCATCTGCAAGCAAGGAGAGTTGAAAGAGGACTGTCATCATATCTATTGCTCTCCTTGTGGACTCAGGCTCAACAGAGATGATGAGGTTAGTGTTTTTGAATTCCCATGTCTTGCATATTTTTCAGAGTTTCTAAACTTTTTTGTTATTTTTCTAGTGAGTAGAGACTTTTTTGAAGGTTTTTAATTTAACACCACCTGCTGCCTGATTTGAGTAAATTACACGCCTTTGTATTTTTTACTTTCTTAGGTTTGAGTTGAAAAATATTTTCCCACCACACAGCCTTGCATTTTTTTGTTTGTAATCTATTATTGTGAAGTGTTGTATGACATTTTGGATATTGGTGCAGCATTGAGAACTAGTAAGATAACATTTGAGTTTTATGCGTGTATTTGTCTGCACTCTGCATTACTGGTTTAGTTGGTAATCTCTGGAACATATTATAAATATGATTAACAGAGTCGATTTTTCCAGGTCAATCTAGAGGTGTTACGAAATAGGTTGGATGAAGCTCATTCAGACCATCTTGATCAAGGATGTAGGTTAAAATCGAAATTCTGCGTTGAAACTAGATTTGATCTGGCTGCTCTGTACATAACTTGTCAGGGGTGCAACATGTTTGAGCTTGTAATGTAGCCATTTTGGTGTGCTTCCTTTGATTGTAATGGTTTTATAGTTTCATGTGGATACGCGAGTTGTTATAGGTGATATGTTTGCTGAAGTTGATCAACCAAGTGGTGGCAAACACTATTTATCTTGGTTTTGTGGTTAATCCAACTGATTTTATACAATCACTTTGCATGCCTATGTTGCTCTTCTCTTATCACGGTAGTTCCATTTTCTAAACTCTAGCAAATAAAGGAACAATCTATTCTAGGCACTTATTAACCTGACGAATAACTATGATTTTCTTCTTCAGCCTTCATTATATGCTATTCAACTGCTTTTCCTTCACGCCACAATCAAGCAAGGTTTTGATGAAATTTAAACTCAAGTTTAAGGGAAATTGCAACCACTAAACTTCGAGGTGGATTCTGCCAGACTATTATATTTCATTCATTCTCCATTCCGTCTACTCCGGGAACCCAACCTTGGAACTCACTTGCTACTTTTGTTTATCAAATGCAAATATATGTATATATACAGTGACATCTCTCTATAAGGTCACTTGTTATAATGATGTGATTTTTCACTTCTCTATAATAATATTCTACCTTTATGACATTCATTATAATTGTATGACTCAAATATTTTGCAAGAAATATATTGTAACCCTCTATTATTTTGTTAAAATGGTTGACAAATACATTCCCTTTTATTGAAAGTTTAGACAAAAATTTTTATCAATTCAAACAATAGGTCACTAAGAGATTATAATTTATAAAATAGCCTACAATTATAAAATCCTTACACCAACCTTGATATATTTACATTTTAAATTAATTTTAAATGTTTATAAACCAACCAAGTGCACTAAATCTCCCACCATGCACAGGATCTTGGGAAGAGCCCAACCACTAGGGCCTGTTGTAGGCAATCTTACTTTGTATATAGATCCCTATTATTTCAATTCTTTGTGGTATCATACAATTAATCATCAATTTATTTTTAATGTGTCGAGTCTCTTCCTTTTAATTAAAAAATAAGTGTTAGTCTCTTCAATTTTTAATTCGTGAAATATGAAAATCAGTTGAGATTTTAAATTAAAAAAGTATTTTGTTTGCATTTATAACATAAAGTAGCAAGAAATAATTTTGTATATTTTTGTTGATAAAATATGAGATCTAAATGTCAAATGTCACTAAAGATATATAACATCTCAATATAGCAATTAGAAGCCATGAAATCTTGAGACAAAACACTTCCACTATAGAAAGGTTTGATTGCATATACAAAAGACAATATATGAAGAACTTGGAAACAAAACATACAAGCTTTGATTTGAGCATCATATTTTAGCACCCGCAAAAATACTATCTTTACAACACTGGATCTTATAAAATCTATAAATCAAGTGATATCTTTTTTCCTCACGTAAAACAAATTTTTCACATAAATGAAAGGAAATTACATAGGATTTTACATCTTGTAGGATACTCTGCTTTTACAATGCCTCCTTCCATGTTGGATATGGCTAACAACACTGACATCTCTTCCAGCACAAATAACTGCAGCATAACAGGAAAGGAACCAAAAACGAATATCGAAGACAAATGATCACATGCAGAGGGTGACCAAATGCACTATAGAAGCACAACGTGAATGGAAATAATACTACTCTACACCAACACGTTACTCACAAGCCACAAGTCTCTGGCATTGACATAAATTTACAAAACACAGTGAAAATTCACTTCATCATCACTGATAGATTTCTATGACCATCTATAGAAATCAATCAAACGCCTCGTGCTGGGGAATGCAAGATATCAGAGGCATAGCAAAGGCGAGCTTGCTTTAGGAAAATTTACCCACCTCTGAAAAACCCAAAAGGGAGCTAAAATTCAGTCTCTAGAAGAGTTCCTCAGAATTGAATTTGTTCCACGCTTCCTGAAAAATATATAACTTGAGAATGAGCTAAAGAGAATTTTGCAGTCAGAAATAACATAGGCAGAAAAAAGATATTATAATGATAATTTTTGCAAAGGTAAAGACAACTCAAGATATGCAATTCAGGTAAGAGGATGCACAAACCCTGGCCACTTAAAAATCAACAGATTGGAGAAAGAAGTGAGTAGTCAAAACATATGGATAGTTACAACCCCTCAAAATATGTACTCTCAATAGGTTCACCCAGCCTACACCGACAATAGAACAATAGACTCCTCATTCCTTAGAAAGGAGTAGCTCTCTACCCTCTGCTTAACAATAATGTTAATCATGACAGTTGCTGGGAACCTAATACATGTCTTATCCAAGGAAAACACAAAAGAGAACAATTTATGACAGATTTAAAATGCATTGATCACAGTTCAGTACCTTAAGTAGGTCAAAAACCTTCTCGGCAATATATTTTTGTTGAAGGTTGGCACCTTTCTGCTGCACCTTATCAGGATGAATACAAAGGGTTGCTTTTCTATATACTTTTTTGACAGAGGCACCCACAATCAAATCGGTCAAGGACACAGGCTGCCAGCCACATTCAGGCCAAAGCACCTAATGAAAAATAAAATAAGAGAAATTCACATCATAAGGAAAAATAAAAGTTGAAGTGACTTTGAGCAACATTACATTATTATTAGGAAGAGCAGAAAGTTCAGATATTTGAGGAAGTATAAGATAGTCAGCAAGTAGATCATAACCGTATCAAAACTAGATCAAAAAAATTATGATTTCCATGAGATTTGAAATTGTAGTCTCTTTTGCTTGTGAATTTCCATTTTAGAAAGTAGAAGATCCATTTTCCTTTTTTACCCATGGTGTTTAAAGTGGGAGGACAAAGGGTACACCTATCTCCAAGAAAACATAGGAAGACTATGATTAGCAACCAAACAGAAAATAGACACAGTGAGCTGTTTGTGAGTTTTAACTTTGGCTCCTAGAATTTCTCTTTTAGAAGAAACACCAGTATTCCTTCAGGTGGCAGAGGGTTTATTGGGAAGGGATTATTCTGAATAGAATATTCACAAATTATGTTTGGAAAACGAACGCACATATTGCAAAGTCGATAGAAGTGCACGCAGATTTCCCTCTTTTCCAGCAGCCCATCGCTTGATCTCAAAATCTAATGTTTCGGAAATTCTCTGCAACAATTAGTAAACCAATAAGATTAAGGAATAAACAGAAAAAGTCAAAGAAGCAAAGGATGATGATACAAATATAACTTAAAAAGGACAGAAGAAAAAGCAAGCTCATCTATCTATAGCAACGCGAGTTCAACCATGAAACCAGCAAAACTTGGCTCATGTCTGTTCACTAAAAATGTCACATGTTCAAAGGCAAGGAATCACAGAGCAATATAAGTTTCCTCGCACTAAATATTGTTGTACCCAATATATAAGTATGGCTACTTAGGTTTCGCATACTAACACAATCAATCAACTACAATTCACTCCAAATTAGTTGAGTTAGCTATATGAATTATTTGTGTTGATTCTTGCTCTATTTGTCTTTTTCATCCCAAGCTAAAAATATTATAAGGCAATACATGAGTGTGCTTCATGCAGCAACAAAATTCTCCAGATAGTCAATTGCGGATTATAATGCCTGCATTACTAGGATTTTCAGCAATTGGTTCAACATTTGGTTATGAATAGTAGCTTAGCTGTTTAGTCACCTTACATGTACATATTATTCTATAGAGGCTTTGAAGCTGGTGTCTTACACATGACATTAGCAAGGTAAACTACTTTGATTCTCAACTCGCACGAAAACAGAACAAGAAAAGGAAATAGACCCATCAAAAAGCAAAAAAGATGTGTAACCCTAGAACAAGTTCTCAGGAATTCTCTAAAACTAAAAATCACCCCGTATCTCAGACTTATCTTTACACGAATGTCCAGTCTTTAACCAGAGGAAAAGGACTCTTAACAGACACCATACTCCTATTGTAACCATAGAAACTATCCAAATGTTGGTATCACCTACACAAATTATTTGCTTCCATTACATCTGTTCTTAGCTAGTCTTCATTGGTTAGAGAGATAACAAGTCTATATAAACAACTACTCACCATGTGATTTTAGGTGTACCTCATCATCATATTTATCTTTCCATATTCAATCATTATATTGTCACATTGAACATGACAAATCATTTCTTGCGAACTTCTTTCTTTTATCCTGTGTGCTACCTGCACCATCTATCAAATGCTGTTTTAATCTTGTCCAATGTTATATCCATATAGACGTTTGATTTCCACTACATTCATTTTGTGGACAGTGTTGTTAAAGGCTCGTTTAAACCCTCAAAGCTTAGTTTGCTTCGCTTGAGCGGTTTGGTATATGTCAAGGTGCTAAGGCATGTTCACCTTTATCAGTTTATTGATGGGTTCTGTCTTTAAGGGAACTATACAACATATATATAGCTTAATTATAGTGTTTCGCTTATTTTGTAGTAATAGTTTGATATCTAAAAATGCTCTCAGGCACTAATCCCTAGATTTTAACTTAAAGGTCCTGCTGACCTTTAGGAAACCCTTTTCCGGTGGACTTAATCTGACGGAATTCCTCCTTCACTCCCTCCTCCTTTCTTTCCCAGCTCTTTTTCCTCTACCTTTCTTCCATGGACAACAGGATTTATTTTAGATTAGGGGGGAAATCATATGATTTGACAGAAACCAGATCATCTTCAGATATTTGGTACGAATGGGTGGAGAGTGCAAAGCCTTTTTTGAGAAGAATGAAGATCAGTAAGGGCACGCTAATGTGGCTTTGTAACAGATTTAAGGAAGCCTCGGTCATTAAAGGGAAGTCTTTTAAGACTTGGAAATGCAAAGATATTTCTATCAGCATTTATTGCAGCTTGAAGTTCAATAAATTTGGTAGGTTTATCTCTGTTATTTCAGTTAATGGCAATGATAGGTCTGTCATTATTCTACCAGAAAACTCCTTTAATGAGGGGTGGGGAGAGTTGGCTCTAAAGATACAAAATTTTATTTCTCAAAAATCCAGTCTACAAAAGTCGAACGCAGAGAAAGGTGGTCTCAGTTCATTGGGACTCAGGGGAGAGGATAGCTACAAAGAAATATTACAGAAAAAGAAATGGTGCAATGGAGACCAAAGCCAGACATCAACGTCATCTTCCGGAAGCGATAGGGGTCCTCTGAGTAAAAGTCTGGTTGGCAGATTTCCCGACTGTGGCGAAATACCCACCAGAGCAGAAGTTAGAAACTGGGCTCAACAAACCTGGAGGGGTATTCACAATCTACAGATCTATGATATGAATGGAACCCATTTTATTTTCGAGTTTCAGTCAAGACGAGATGCAGAGCACATTCTTCTGGGTGACTGGAGAAGGAGAAATCACCCTCTGCTCTTAGAATGGTGGAAGCCAACAGCCGGAGCCTTCCATGCTGATACCATCTTTGATTGGTTTTGGGTCCGGATTCTGGGACTCCCCCTACAGCTGTGGAACGATAAGGTGATGAAGCAAATCGGAGACCTTTGTGGTGGGTGGCTTGAGACAGAGGAAGAAACGCAATTGAAGAACCATCTGAGATGGGCCCGACTTCGAGTTATGGGGCCAAGAGAGAAAATCCCTTCCAGCATTGAGATCAGCGATGGCGACCTTATTTTTACTCTTCCCGTCTGGATTGAAGCTCCGGTGAGATACAGGAAGAAGGAAGAAGATGGGCTCAGGGATCGAGAAGTCAATAAGATGAAAGAAAAAGGGAAAGCTATTGCAAGCCCTAGTCTGTACCAGATTGAGACAGAAGAGAGATTTAGGGACAGAATTTCAAATTTTTACCCAGGGGATATAGAGAAGACAACTGTTCCTAGTACTTCATTGCTCAGAAGTCACATGGATACTGCAAGGCACGTGGTTTCATATGAGGAGGTGGACCCAGGAGATGCTGAGAGTTTAAAGGGTTTTTGGGTTTGTGGGAAATGTTTTGGGCCTCCTTAAGGTCCAAGCTTCTAAAAGCCCAAAGTGTGACTTCATTAAAGGAATAAGCCCAGACCCCCTTCTTATATCTTCTCAAGAAGACCAGATCTTCGTTCTGACTTCTCCAAACTCATATACAGAAACAGAGCTGGAGAATATGATGAGAATGGACTCAAATTTGCCAACAGCGAGAAAAAACGGCGGCAAAGAATTGATAAATTCTGACTTTCAACACACTGAAGTAAGAGATGAAGTCAGCTCAAATTCTTCTAAGAAGAAGGATTATGGTTCGAATAAAAAGGATGAAGGTGATCAGGGGGAGAAGTCCAAGGGACACATGATAATTTTTGAAGAGCCGATGCCATTACAGATGGAAGAACCTCTCTTAGAAAAGGAGATTGAAGATAGAGCCACTATATGGGTGTAGTCTAACGTTCTTGAATTCAGCAGGAGGTTTGAAGCAGCTTTCGAGGGATGTGATAAAATAGCCTTTGAATTACTCATGAAGATAGACCAAAAGAGAGGCTACTTGGATAAAAAAGAAGAGGCTACCAAGAAGGAATACAACCAGAATAGCGTCCCAAAGGAGCTAAGAAACTTAGAATTTCATATGAACTTTAAAGACGGGGAACCTAGAGGTAGAGGGAGAACAACACCTCTTAGACTCAAATGAAGATAAACATTATTTCTTGGAATGTAAGGTGGCTGAATGGGGGGAGCAAAAGGAGTCTCATTAGGAGTTTAACTAAACAGTGGGGAGCTGACGTCTATGTCTTTGTAGAGACAAAGTTGAGGGGAGTTGACAATGCTTTATTCAAAGAGGTGTGGGCAAATAGGTGGATGGGTGAGTTCCACTTAGATGCAGTGGGTAGAAGTGGAGGGATTGTAGTAATGTGGGACAAAAGGTATTGGAAGGGGGAGCTAATAGGGACTGCTGGTCAGATGCTTACATGTAAACCAGAAGGCATAGTACAAAATCTCACTTGGTTTTTAAGTGCAGTTTATGCTGACTGCAACCCAATAATAAGCAAGGAACTGTGGAGGGAGCTGACAACAATTAGAAACTCCTTCGAAGGACCATGGGTGGTGTGTGGTGATTTCAATGTTACAAGATATCCAAACGAAAGAACTGGCAGCCATTATCTGTCTCGAGAAATGACAGAGTTCACTGACTGGATCAATGAGATGGAGTTATTTGACCCTCCTTTATTTGGAGGATCTTATACTTGGAGAAGGGGTGAGAACCACACAACAGCCTCCAGAATTGACAGATTCCTCTACTCTAATCATTGGGAAGAATTGTTCCCACAAATTAGACAAAGTGTGCTCCCGAGAGTAGGCTCTGATCATAGTCCAATAGCTCTAAACTGTGGAAAGCTAAATCTCAAGAAGACTTATTTTAAGTTTGAGCAATGGTGGATGAGGGTGGAAGGGTTCAGAAAAAAAGTAAAAGAATGGTGGGCATCCTTCACTGTAAATGGAACAGCCTCTTTTAGGTTGGCAACAAAACTAAAGCTACTCAAAGGGAGATTGAAGGAATGGGAGCTGGAGAATAGAGGCAACTGGAAACATAGAAAGGAGGATGTGCTGAACCAGATTGCTAGTCTTGAAACTATCCAGGAGCAGAGAACACTCAATGTGGAGGAGAGTCTACAACAAAGCTAAAGTTATTCAATGAGTTTGCAGAAATTTCCAAGAATGAGGAAATAGCGTGGAGACAAAGGTCCAGGGTACAATGGCTCAAGCAAGGGGATAAAAATACCAAATAGTTTCAGAAAATGGCTACATCACACAGAAGATTCAATACAATCGAGAAGTTAGAAGTGGAAGGTGTGATTATTTCCGAACCAGAGGTGATCAAGAATGAAGTTGTAAGCATTTACCAGAAACTCTACAAGGAATCAGAACAATGGAGGCCACATTTTTAATCTCCAAGGGAGTGAAAGCATCAGTGTGGAGGAAAAAGAGTGGCTACAAAGACAATTTGAGGAAGATGAAGTCCTTGAGACACTCAAGTTATGTTCCAGTGACAAGGCACCAGGCCCGGATGGTTTCCCGATGAGTTTTTATCAAAGCTTCTGGGAAATGCTTAAGGAAGACATACTGAGCACCTTGAGGCAATTTCATGATCACCAAGTGTTTGAGAAGAGCCTAAATGCAACCTATGTGGCATTGATCCCCAAGAAGGTGGGAGCTGTGGAACTGAGAGATTTCATACCTATAAGCTTGATAGGTGGAATATACAAGATCATTGCCAAGATACTAGCAGAAAGGTTAAAGAAAGTGATCAGTAAGCTTGTGAATAAACACCAGATGGCCTTCATAAAAGGTAGGCAGATCATTGATGCAGCACTTATAGCAAGTGAGTGTGTGGACACCAGAGTCAAAGGAGATGATCCAGGAATTATGTGCAAGCTGGAAATACAGAAGGCTTATGATCATGTCAATTGGGGCTTCCTAATCATGATTCTAAAACAAATGGGTTTTGGGGATAAATGGTTGAAGTGGATCGATTATTACATAAAAACTGTTAAGTTCGCCATTTTAGTGAATGGAGAACCTGTTGGTTTTTTCCCATCAGAAAGGGGTCTAAGGCAGGGAGACCCACTCTCTCCTTTCCTTTTCATCCTAGCCATGGAGGGCTATAATAGTATGATGAGAGTAGCTACCCAAAACAATTGGTTAAAAGGCTTCAAGATCCGCAACTCTTCAGGAAGGGAAATGCAGATTTGTCATCTGCATAATGCAGATGACACCATTATTTTCTGTGAAGCCAAGGCTGAACAGGTTGCCTTTATAAGAATGACTTTGGTGGTTTTGAAGCAGTCTCGGGTTTATCAGTAAATTGGAGGAAAAGCAACATCTTTCCAATTAAAGAAGTCCCTCAACTTCAGAGCCTAGCAAGGATATTGGGGTGTAAAGTAGAACATCTTCCCACTACTTACTTGGGCATGCCATTGGGACACAATCATAAGGAGCTAGAAATTTGGGACGGCATAATTGAAAAGACAGAGAAGAAATTGGCCAATTGGAAAGCTCAGTATATCTCTTTGGGAGGGAGAGTCACTTTAATAAACTCTGTGTTGGACTCTCTTCCAACTTATGTTATGTCTTTATTCCCTATGCCTGCCAAAGTGGAAGAAAGACTTGACAAACTGAGAAGAGATTTCTTGTGGAAAGGGAATAAAGAAGGGAAGGGTTTGCATTTAGTCAAATGGCAGACTGCACAGTTACATAAACAATCTGGTGGACTTGGAATCAGAAACTTGGGGTTGCAGAATAGATGTCTCTTGTCAAAATGGCTATGGAGGTTCAACACTGAGGAAGAAGCACTGTGGAGGGAGGTGATAGTCAACAAGTACGGGTTGAATGGGAATTGGGTCTCCAACTCTGTGAATAGCACTTACGGGTCAGCTTGGAGAACAATAAGAAATTTGTGGCCTGATCTAAGTAGAAACATAGTCTACAAGGTGGGAAATGGGACGAAAATCCTATTCTGGAAAGAGAATTGGATTGGAAATGAGGCACTGATGGGCTTATTTCCTAACCTATTTTCCTTGTGTACCAATTCGGAAGAAACAGTGGTTGAGGTATGGTCTATTCATGGATGGAATATTGTGTTTAGAAGGCATTTAAATGACTGGGAGATTGGGAGAGTGGCTGAGCTATTACATGTTCTCAATGGTTTTAATGGGTTATCAACAGAAAAAGATTCTATCATATGGAAACACTCTAGAGATGGAAGCCTTTCTGTTAACAAGCTATATATTAAGGAGGTGAATGAGTATCCAGGTGGTAAACTTGGCCCTTGGAAGCAGATTTGGAGGAACAAGGTGCCAACCAAGGTAAAGTGTTTCTCCTGGTTGGTTGCCAGAAGAGCATGCTCCACTCATGAGAAATTGAAAAGGAGGGGTTTCTATATTGCTTCTTGGTGCTCTCTCTGTAATGAGACTGAGGAAACCAACAACCATTTGTTCCTCCATTGCAAAGTGACAACACAATTGTGGAACCTTTTTTTGGGACTAACACATACAGAATGGATTATGCCTGAGCATACAGCAGATCTACTTAGTTGTTGGATCAGCAGAGGGGGGAGAAAATCTAAGAAAAAGTGGTGGAGTATAATACCATCATGCATTTGGTGGTGTATTTGGAAAGAAAGAAATAGCAGATGCTATGATAACAAAGCTAATTCAATAGAGAAAGTCAAATGGAACTGCTTGACTACTTTTTATTTTGGTGTAAAGAGGAAGGGATAGAAGAAGCTGCACAAATTTTGGATTTTATAGGCACTTTGTAATCTATTAGCCTTTTTTGTTTTTTCTCTTGTTGGAAACCAATTTTTGGAGGTCTCCAGCATATCCTTAATGCTGATGAATACAACATTATCTTTATCAAAAAAAAAATTATAGTGTTTCTATCCTCGTCGAAACAATTATTATTTGTGTTTACAATTACATTTTCTTGCATTACATTTCTATTTTCATTTTTTCTTTATTGCGATTTTTTCCTCTCAAGTCCATGCTTCAATTTGGCTTTGCGCTTAAAGCTCAAACAAGCTTTGGCCTTTCTTCGCACTCTACAACTTTGACTACTATGTTTGTGGGTATGTTGAGCATTAAAGGCCCAATGTTTTTTTTTTTTGATAACCGAGAAATCACAACTTGATAATTGTAGCAAGAATATGAAGATGTATGATTGAGATCTCATTAAAAGGAAATGAGCTGTTAGACGTAGTAACCAATCGAGCTGTTTTACAACTAGAAATTAATGAAGGATATACTTGGTAAATATGTATTTCTGGTAGGAATACTTGTATTTGAAAAAACAACTTTTTGCTTCTACTTTTTTCAAGAAACAAGATTTTTTAGCTTCTTCCCAACCATAGAGAAACTGTTTTTGCTTCTACTTAAAAGCAGTTTTACTTATTGGTCGAACACCTCAAATTTCCAAAAAAAGAGTTTTTGGCCTCCAAATCACTTGGCCAAAAATGCTCTATGTCACGATGTAGTCAGGCTCGCTTGAGAAGTGTTTAAACCTTGAAATTAGGTGCAAGATATACTAACCGCTTTGCCTCACTTTGGCAGCATTTGAGTTGGACCAGATCTAGAACTGTTCTCAACAGTTTGTGTAGCCATAAATCCTATTGTATTCATTGAGATTTGTTGACTTTGTATACCATTCCATTGTAAATATACGATCATATCATAGATCCATTGGGGTCTTGAAATTATATAAATATGATAAGAATGTAGGCACCAAAGGCAGTAAGGCCCTTGCCTCATTGTTCATTGGCTCTATCCTGAAGAGAGCAGCACTAAACAATAAATTTTTCATCTAGTGATAACTTCTTCAATTACATTATTCATATAATTGATGTTTCAGCTTTTAGCAATTATTCTCCAACTACACATATTTTATTTGTGCCTTTCTTTGTTAAAGCACGTATTTTATTTGTGCTTTGGGCATAAAGTCCCATCCTCGGTGCATCTTACACTTTTCTGCCTTTGATAACACTGCTATGAGAGGCAGAGCGAGTATATCGGCTGCAACTGAATTCCAAATTATAGATTTTGCAAATTATTTATCAAAACAAAACTTACATGTCTTTCATCCTGATCCCTCTGCACTTGAAGGTCGCGCTGATTCTTCTCAGCCAAAGCTTTAGCCTGAGCACATACATAACAACTATGAAGAAATACATAGAACCTATTGTGCAAACAGCCAAATACTAATATACTACATGCTAAAAGCTGTAATCAGAAAATTGTACTGAATATTCAATGACAAGAAGGAAAGATGTCATTTGTCAGGACGCATACCGCACGCTCCTGAGTACGTTGATGGCGTTCTAGTCTTGCTCTTCTTCTTTCTTCAGTTTCCCCTTCAACATCTTGGAATTCCCCAGATGATGCAGAAGCTGGTGAAGTTCAACAGTACATAGTAAAGCCGCGAGAAACAGCTTAAAACCAAATCAGATACATAATGTTAAGTCATGAAGACACAAAAGAAAGTACCTCCAAAAATAGAAGAAAGATCATCCACGAAACTAGTCGTGGAAGATGCTTTCCTCATGTTGGAGGAGGCTACACCAGCTGTTGATTTTGGCCCTTCAGATCCTGCTTTATTCTGAAACTGCGAATCAAATATGTTGTCCTAAAATGGAACGAACAAAGTAACAAGTCAGCAAGAATGAGCGACAAATATATATCAGTGCTTATAAAAAACAATTAACAAAATAATGAGCAGTACTGTTGCAAGAACAATAGGCTATATCTTAATGGTGTTCGTTACTCACAGGAGTACTTGTTCTCGTCTTTGGTGCACTACTGGCTCTACCCATACTAAAAAAGGATTCAAGATCATTATCATTCCTTTGTTGGTTCATCCTTGCAGAAGCAGCTGCCCTTTCTCGAACCTCTGCAGCTGCCCTTTCTCGAGCTTCTGCAGCTGCCCTTTCTCGAGCTTCTACAGCTGCCCTTTCTACTGCTGCTCGTTCTGCTCGCCTTCGTGCCTCAGACTCGGCCTTCACGGCAGAAGCTTTTTCACATGCTTCTTTTTCCCTTGCTTCTGCAGCTGCCTTTTCAGCTCTTTCTTTAGCTTCTGCTGCAGCTCTTTCCCGAGCTTCTGCTTGTGCTCTCTGAACTGCAGCCTTTTCAGCCCGTCCTCGAGCTTCAGCTGCAACCTTCTCCACAGCAGCTCTTTCTGCTTTTAGACGGGTTTCAGCAGCAGCTCTGTCACGTGCCCCAGCTGCTGCTCTTTCACGTGCTTCCCTAGTAGCCCTTTCTACCGCTTGCCGAGCCCTTTCTTTTTCAAGCTCCCTGGCTCTCTCCCTTTCTCTCTCAAGCTTCTTTTGTGCTCTTTCTTCCTCTTCCTTCTCCCACTGTCGCCTCTCATTTTCTAGTCTCTCCTGGTTTTCTCGAAACTCTCTTTCCTGCACTTCATTTATTGCTTGTTCATCCTTTTCCAGAAGTACAGCTTCCTTACTCTTAGCAGACTTTGCATATTCTCTTTCTCGGACCTCCTTAGCATGTCTAAATTTGGCCTCAGCTCTATCCATAACCTCCTTCATTGCAGCTGCTGATGCAGCAGCAACAGAGTTTCCATTCATCTCTTCTCCAGAAAGAGCATCAGCATTTTCATCAATACTACTCTTAGACCAACCCCTGGCAAAATCCTCAAGTTCATCCAACTGTGAGACTGGAGGGCTTTTAACTGCAGGACGAACCGGCTTAGGACTCTGAGAATACTGGTAGTGATTAGGGGAAGAGGAGTAACCCTCACCCTTCCTTGCATTTGAAGAGGAAAAACTTGCCTCTGACTTTGAACTGCGCCGTGGTATTGGAGGCGGTGGTCGTGATGGAGGTGGAGCACTTGTAGGTTGTGTAAAAAGAGGAATCTCTGATACAGTAAGCCATAAATCTTCAGAAGCCTGTACTTGATCCTCTGATCTTGGGGATGTATCCACTTGGAAGTTTGTTTCGTGAAGATCATTATCTGCATATGGAGGAGGAGCAGTTTCACCCAAAGATCTCAGAGGATCTTCTGAAGGCATGTTAAAATGGGGAGACTCTTGAAAACTATCCCCAGGCACTTTTTTCTGCAAGTGACTTTCAGAATATCTAAATGGCGGTGTCTCAATATTTTCTCTTGAGGTAGAGTTATGTGCATCACTCCTTCCTGCTCCAGCCTTTGATGGGATTCTGTCCTTCCCTCCTGTCTTCTTCTCATGGGAAAGTGGACAAACAGGCTTATCAAACCCACTAAGTGGATCTAGATCATCAAACACCCCTCCACTAACTGATGAAGCACCAGTTTTTGCCATTCCAGATTTACCAAGCTTACCAATCTCTTCCAGTGGATCTGAAAACTCCTCGGGAGGAGAATTTGCTGGCACCAAGGTCGACTCTAGTACGACAAAAGGATCATCCAGCATACTAGAGCTTTTATTTGAATCTCCAGCTGGTTTGGAGGGATAAGTTGAATCTGTAAATGACCTGTGGTAAAAGCACCGCTTTTATCATAACCGAATCAAAATGTAATACAACAGAGTTAAAGCAATATAATTCCTGCATTAGGAGTACATAGGATTTAATCTAATCAGTAACTCTAATTAGCAAATGATATGCAAATATTAAATTTTCTCCACTTGCCAGATACAGTTTATTTATTGCGGTCCAGTTTGGTAACCTCCCTGATCAATCTTGTTTTCATCTTACACATACCACTTACAGTGAACAATTGAATCATCAGTTTCCAGCCAACTCTGGTAACATGAAAGAGAAGCATGAACAATGAAAATTTAATTAATTAAAAGAAGAAATGTCTTTTGAACAAGACATCCAAACTACTAAATGAATTCAGTTGAACCACTAATCGCCTCAGCTGACAGGACTTCAACACCTCCACCACAGAAATTGCATTTTTGCACTTATCTGTTGGAGGTGACTAGAGCTGGCAATTTCAGCCCATTAATCCACATTTAGTGAAGTGGATCACTTATATTTCAGTTGGGTAAATATGGGCTTCCGTCTATTTTTAACACATACAACTATGGACAAAGTATCCATATTTTACTAGAAAACCAACTCAAAAATTTCATTCTAATGTGCATATGTTGTTTGCATATACAAAATGCTACAATAACCTTACATTATGAAACGAATTTCCATACTTCTCCTTGCAAATTTTCACAATTCCCCTCAGAGGAAAAGATCTATTTGCTCTTCCATTTCTGATTTTCTTTTGAATTTTTTATAACAAAAAAAAAGAATATTTTTGTTATCCCCTATCTCTTCCCTTCTCTAGATGCCAAACGAAGCAAACTCTAAATAAAGACAGAATGAAGTCACTTCAACTTATAACATTTTTGGTCTCTCAATTATTGATAAATACTGATGTTAATCCCTATGATATCTGGCGAAACATATTAAAAATTTTCTTGAAGGATTTAGAAAGTTTTAAAGAGTTCATATATTATTTTTTTTTTGAAACTGAAGAGTTCATATGTTATTTTCACTTTTATAAGATCCTTAAAACTTTATTCCTTATTGATAAAATCCAAAGAAATAATTTCCAATCCAAACACATAAAATTAAATGGGAAACAAAACACCATAAATTTAACAAAGAGCAATTTTATTGTGCTTTCTAACATACAAACTTGAATTGATCATAGCTGCATAAATACAAATTTCAAGATCTTCAGCTATTTACAAAACTTCAAGAACTTCTACTATTACAAAACTTCAAGAACTTCTACTATTACAAAACTTCAAGAACTTCTACTATTACAAAACTTCAAGAACTTCTACTATTACAAAACTTCAAGAACTTCTACTATTACAAAACTTCAAGAACTTCTACTATTACAAAACTTCAAGAACTTCTACTATTACAAAACTTCAAGAACTTCTACTATTACAAAACTTCAAGAACTTCTACTATTACAAAACTTCAAGAACTTCTACTATTACAAAACTTCAAGAACTTCTACTATTACAAAACTTCAAGAACTTCTACTATTACAAAACTTCAAGAACTTCTACTATTACAAAACTTCAAGAACTTCTACTATTACAAAACTTCAAGAACTTCTACTATTACAAAACTTCAAGAACTTCTACTATTACAAAACTTCAAGAGCATGTATTAATCCACTAAAGAGGGAAAAAGAAACAAAAAAGTAATGTATTTAGTTCCAACATAATCCATTTTACCAGATTTGCAACGAAACTAATAAAGCTTCAAAATTAACAACGTGAAAACTGCAAAAGAAAAAGAAAAAAAAAGAACTGGTGCAATTAGTTATTTAGTTCTATCAAAGTAACAACATAATACTCAAAAATATGAAACATTATTAAAACAAAGAAAGACTTTTCGCTTTAGGAGATTAAAGTGAGTTAGGACCAATTTTTTACCCATATTCATATGGGTGGATTGTAATCCAATACATTTTAGCTCGAATCATTTTCAATCCACCCAAATCTGATCAAATCCGCTCATTTTGTCACAACAACAGGTGACAATGTTTCACCCAACCAACATTTGGAAAATCAGGAGCATACCCCGACAAATGGAAATTACTCCATATATTAGCAAAAAAGTTTACGAAGGTTTCAATTTTCAAAGACTATATTAATGTGTGAGAGATTCCAAAATTCCATGCCAACCAATTATTTATATAAAATGCGACAAGGTTACCATGTTAGCCCTCTAAAGCAGTATTTACACCCTTAAAGTGGTATGCATGTCCACCAGAGAAAGCAGATGACCTAATTATGTTCTCCATCTTGAGCAGTACACAATTTTTTTCTCTTTTGTATGAATGTAGAGAAGAAAAAGTATTCGGACTTCAACTCCAAAACCCTCTCCATACCCTCCAAAACAAAGGGGCAATAAGTAGATAAGATACAGAACCATTTTCGAACTGCCAATCATAATAAGTAAGCAGTATACACACAATCATCATTTCATAATCAATACTCTCTAATACATGTTTATCTATGCAAATCCTTAGCTACGTCACTTGAATTAGGAAAAAACTTAAATACAGAGAAGCAAACTATTACCAGAAACAATTCCTCAAATAGAAATATGTTTTAATCCAGAATGAACACATTGCTAATTTCATCTAATAGCTCTAGTAATTCAGCAATACATTTAATAACTCTGAGGAGTGTACTAAGTTCTACACATTAATGAGCCCATATAGCTTTCTAATTCTATGATATCTAGCAATAAATTCAAATAATCACATTTTGAACCACTGATCTCCAGCCAAGTAAGATTTTCATAAGAAGTGCTTGCAAATGTTTTTCTCGCAACTGAATGAAATTCTGTTTTTGTTAATGACCAGACCAGCCGCCATGCTGATCCACTCAAATACAAAACTTAGGTACAACAGCAAAGATCACATTTGTTATTAAGTTCTAATCACACCAACTATACAATCTGATAGGGAAGGAGCACCGAAAGAAGATATGCCAAAATACCTGCTACTGGTGCCAGTTCCAAAGCCAGCTAGTAAATCATCGAACTCAGTGGAACCAGCACTACTCTTTGGTTGTGCCACCTTCTCATTCCTCCCGAAATTCCCCAAGAGATCATCAAAATGAGTGTTTTGCTGGGGCGGGGAAGTCATTGTAGCAAAAACATCGTCCTCAAATCTCAGTGTAGATGAAGAAGATAGGGATTTGTTCTTTACTCCTGGTAAGCCGTCGAATATATCGTCGTCGTAGACTGGCTTGTCATAGACAGGGAAGGAGGAGGTCTTGATGTTGTCATCATTGTTGTTATTGGTCTTGCCGGAGATGAAAATAGAATCGTAATTGAAATCGGCAGAGTTATTGGTATTGGTGTATTTAGGAGGGCCACCGAAGACATCGTTGAATAACACAGCATCAGGATCAGAAGAAGAGGTTGATCGGACGTCGGATCTCATTGGTGCGGATTTTCCTGCGTGCCGAAAACCCAAGTCTCGAGCTAACACATCGAGGTCATCCATTGGTAAATATAGATCTGATTCTGACCCAATACTGCCCTTCAAAACAGGCCAATTGCCGCCGGATGGATCTGACTTGGTTAGGATTCTGTCTTTCTTGCTTCTTCTTGCTATGGCTCTTCCTCTTCCTCCACCTCCACCTCCGGCCCTGTGCTTCTCTTTTTCCCCTCTCTCCTCTCTTTCATTTCTTTCTTTCTTTCTTTTATTTCACTCATGGAAACACCCTTCATCTTTCCTAAAATTTATATTCTCTCCCAAATAGACTATTTTTTACCAAATCTTTTACTAACTAGTTATTAGGTTCCCGCGCCGCCCAATGTATATTACTTCCTCCATCTCATTTTATGTGAGGTAGTTTGATTCGCCACGGAGTTTAAATAAGAAATGAAGACTTTTAAAATTTGTGGTCCAAAATGAATGATATAAATTTGTATGACTGTAAATTATTTCATTAAGGGTAAAATAAATATTTTATAATCAAATTGTTACTTAATATAGAAATGTGACATTCTTTTGGGACTGACTAAAAAGGAAAGTAAATAACATAAATTGGGAGTAGTTCTTTGTTTCAATTTATGTGACACCGATGAAATTTGGAGAGTTATATAATTTTTTGTATGTGATTTTGTTAAATATATTTTGAAGTTGTTAATTTATTGTGATTTATAGCACTTCTTATATCATTTTCAAATAATATATATTACTCTTCTGTTCCATTTTATGTGACGTAGGTACTTTTACGAAACTCAACTAAATTTCTTATATGATTCTTAAATATTTTTAGTTGTTATTTTACTTTAATTTACGTTACTTTTTATGTTATTTTCAAACAAACTTCTTATGTTTCAATATGGAATTAAAGAGTCAATAAAATTTCTTTTATGATTTTTAATTATGTTTTTTTAATATCTTATATTATTACATTGTGATTTTAAGTACTTTTTATGTAATTTTTAAATCTAGAACAAATTAAAAGAAAAACAAGGAAAAATTTAAATGAAGAAAGTACTAAAATTTTCAAATAATCATATTTCTATATTAAAATGTTAAAAACTTTAAAACTCCACATATATGCAGAAAATCATATACGGAAGACAAAATAATTTTTAAAATATATATTAAAGCTCTTTCTAATAATATCACATATTTATTCTATTTTTCAAATAATATATATTTCTCACTCAATCTCAATTACGCAGTACATATGAAATTTCGAGAGTTAATCAAATTCTTAGTACTATTTTAAACTATATTTTAGTACTATTTATATAATTTTCAAATAATATATGTTACTCACTCTATTATATTATGCAATACATGTGAAATTTCAAGAATTAACCAAAATTTTAATATTTTAAATTGATTTTTAGTACTATTTTTGTAGTAAATAGAGGAAGTTGAAGAAGAAGGGCAAATCGGTCAATTGACTGACTAACCCTAAGCTCCTAAACATTCTCACTTCTAAATGGAAGCACGGGCACAATATCCGTTAAATTGTTAATTATTATGATTTATAATATTTTTTACATTATTTTCAAATAATATATGTTATGTATTTTTAAATACTTTAAGTTGTGATTAATAATATTCTTAACGTAATTTCAAATAATATATGTTACTCCATTTGTCCCAATTTATGTGACACATGTGAAATTTTGAGAGTTAATATGTTTTTCAAATATTGTAAGTTGTTAACTATTGTGGTTTATGGTATTCTTAATGTAATTTTTCAAATAATATATGTTATTCCCTTCGTCTTAATTATACAATTCGCGTAAAATTTTGAGAGTTAATCGAATTTGTAATATTTTAAATTTATTTTTTAGTACTATTTAAAAAGGAAAAAATTAAAATATTACTATATAAGAAGAGTAGTAATTATATAGTAATTTTTCAAATAATATATGTTATTCCCTTCGTCTTAATTATAGAATTCGCGTAAAATTTTGAGAGTTAATCGAATTTGTAATATTTTAAATTTATTTTTTAGTACTATTTAAAAAGGAAAAAATTAAAATATTACTATATAAGAAGAGTAGTAATTATATAGTAATTTTTCAAATAATATATGTTATTCCCTTCGTCTTAATTATAGAATTCGCGTAAAATTTTGAGAGTTAATCGAATTTGTAATATTTTAAATTTATTTTTTAGTACTATTTAAAAAGGAAAAAATTAAAATATTACTATATAAGAAGAGTAGTAATTATATAGTAATTTTTCAAATAATATATGTTATTCCCTTCGTCTTAATTATAGAATTCGCGTAAAATTTTGAGAGTTAATCGAATTTGTAATATTTTAAATTTATTTTTTAGTACTATTTAAAAAGGAAAAAATTAAAATATTACTATATAAGAAGAGTAGTAATTATATAGTAATTTTTCAAATAATATATGTTATTCCATTCGTCTTAATTATACAATTCGCGTAAAATTTTGAGAGTTAATCGAATTTGTAATATTTTAAATTTATTTTTTAGTACTATTTAAAAAGGAAAAAATTAAAATATTACTATATAAGAAGAGTAGTAATTATATAGTAATTTTTCAAATAATATATGTTATTCCATTCGTCTTAATTATACAATTCGCGTAAAATTTTGAGAGTTAATCGAATTTGTAATATTTTAAATTTATTTTTTAGTACTATTTAAAAAGGAAAAAATTAAAATATTACTATATAAGAAGAGTAGTAATTATATAGTAATTTTTCAAATAATATATGTTATTCCCTTCGTCTTAATTATACAATTCGCGTAAAATTTTGAGAGTTAATCGAATTTGTGATATTTTAAATTTATTTTTTAGTACTATTTAAAAAGGAAAAAATTAAAATATAATGAAAGAGGAGTGTATAAAAGTAGGTGGGCCATCTTGGTGCCACGTGTCGAAAGAAGAGTGAATTTTATTCACTCTTCTTATATAGTAAAATATATTAAAATATAATGAAAGAGGAGTGTATAAAAGTAGGTGGGCCATCTTGGTGCCACGTGTCGAAAGAAGAGTGAATTTTATTCACTCTTCTTATATAGTAATAACTACTACTTTTTACTTTTCCGTCTATTCTGTTCTATCTATATTTATTGACGTAAAAATTACTAAGAAGTTAGTTGATTATTTTAATTTTCACTTTATGTCACTATGAGGATGTCACGACTCAATTTAGGGACCATGACCGGTGCTTAGGAGCTAGTCCAATCAAGCCTCATCGATATCGAAAATCGAATAGAGTTTCTCCTGTTTTTAGGTCTATCTACTCTTTCCCTATCTCAGAATTCAACAACACAGCTAACCAACATCGCCAAAACAATACACATTTTTTGACAATAATCTATTTGTGATGTACTAATTCTAAATCCATCATCAAATATGAAAATAAGTCTAATACTAGTCACACAACTATAATAATGAAATAATACTAATGACTCTAATAAAGGAAATTACTAATGGAGCGACACTAAGAGTTTCAAAAAAGAGAGACAATAGCAATTCAATAAACTTCTTGTCATGTGGAGCAATGTGGGACCCACCAGAAATAGACAATTCAAACACTCTAATTAATGAAATCCTCGCCAACGTCATATGTGTTCTCTAAAAAATATTTAGTAGGGGTGAGACACAAGCTTAGTGAGTAAATCACAACTGTTTTTAATGGGGACAAGTCAGAAACATGTTAATCACAACCATAAAATATCATGAAATAAATGCCTTTATTTTGAACAATAATCAACCTTGTTTGTTTCATGTAAGCGAAAATCAATTTAACAATTTAGTAATAAACTTAGTATCACACCCCGAGCCTACACTCTAGACGAGACCGACACTCGAGAATCATTTCTGGTCCCCAAGCGAACCATTGGCCTGACTAACTACTTAGTAGGGAGATTTACTCAAGCAATGATAGGCTCAAAACAAAATTGAATCAGTTAAACTCAAATACTCATCTCATAAAATCTGGAAAATACTCAATAACAATATTATAGTTTATAAAACAACTCAAAGAGAGTAAATACTGATAGATACCTCGACTTTGTTTATCTATGAAGCATCTACTATTAAAGAAGGATGTCGGGACAAGATCCATGACATTCCTTCGGAATGCAAGGAGGCTCACCAAAAGCTATCTAGAGTGTAGAGTGATCTCAACAAAGCGTCTGTTGATGATCATTAACACTTGTATTTGCATCATAAAAAGATGTAGGGGTCAAATGACATCAGTACTGAATGTACGAGTATGTATTATAGCCGAAGTGAAACAACCGAAAGAAAGGACTACAATAGATAAATATATACTCAAGCTGAATGTGAAGAAATAAAGGAGTTAAATCATTTAAAATCTTTACAAAATACTTACTCATCTCTAAACTCAACATAATAAGTGATATATTAAAATACATTTTTACTCTATTGAGAGATTCTCTAACCGACAACCATCAATATGAGCTATGTGATGATACAACGTCTCGTCCAAGCTGTCAAAGTTTTCCTATACCATGTCGGGGTATAGAACCTCTCAACTAAGTGGATCCACTAAGCAATAAGGATTCATATAAAAAGTATGATCCTTTACCCATTTTGGCAGACATGATTTATGAGGATTTTGAGTTGTCTGAACTCATTCTCATATCGATGCTCAATACTAGTATACTACTCCCAAAATATATACTCATGCTCAAATGTATAAAATATAATCTTTCTCTGTTTTGAGGTAATTACTCAAAATATCCTCTTATAAGAGGTAACTGTTCTGAAATATCTCTGAACTCATAACTCATTTAGAAATCAAAGTTTCTCTTTTCTCAATGTAATAAAAATATACATTTGAGACTTCTTAGTTCTCTTATACTCTTTCTCAAATCATTTTTCAAATTCTTTCTCAAAATTCCTCTTTACTTTCTCATAACTCAGTTTAAAACAATTATGTTTGTTTAAAAGATTCTCAATAAGAACTCAAGGATAAGGTTCATGTTGAAAATAGATATGAACAATCAACTCAATAAATCTCAATACACAACATACAACGGTCCAATAATTAGGAATAGAAATTGAATAATCATGAACTCAAGAACTCAGAACTCAACATCAACTCATCTCAAGAATACTCAAATCTACGGATAGAATCCTAGATTACTCTTTTACTTATTTGAAAGTAGATGTAGGGTGTGAGGATGAACTAGTTCAATACTATGATGGCCTTACATACT